AGGCAGAAAAATAAGACAAGAAAGGCATGGATTAAGCAAAGCAGGAGGTCCCGATAAGCAGACAGATAATAATAATTTGTAACTTTTTATGGTACATCTGCGGACTTCCTCTTTTTGCGGATTATTTTATACACAAGAAAAAATAAAACAAAAACAAAAAGAACATAATGCTTCCTAGGCCTTATCCAGCCTTACCCGGGGGCTGCTTGTTCATGTGGAGCTTCTCACCCGGCTTCAGTGTCTTAGCGAGGTAGCGCTGAGTGTACTTCAGACGCTTGAATGCACGACCGCGAGGACGCTTCTTCTTCTCCTGCTTGGCGACCTTTGGGGTCTGGTTCTTCACCTTGCCGGCACGAGCCAATGAGCCGTGGACCTTGCCCATTTTCTTTGGTGCGTAAGAAACTAAATGAAGATAAGGTGGAAAGAGCAATAAGAAAAAAAGTGGGTGAAGCAAAAACAATACCGCTGCGAATAGTGAATTGCGGAGGAAAACCAAGGTGCAACACAGACGTCCGCAACCCCTTTTCAGGTACAACTACAAAATATGACAAAAAAAGATGTATGCTACATATTAATAAAATCAGCTTCCTAGCTTGTTGGCTTTTTTTTTCGTTGTTGTTTTGCGTGTTACGTACTTATTTCCCTACTCACTCCCATTTCTACTCCCGTCCTTCCCACACACACACACACGTCCAGCGCATCTCTACTTTTTAAGAAGCCAAAAGGGAATTGAACATGAAAAACCCAAATGGCTTAGCACAGAATACTCATCACCAGGGAATAACGAAAAAAAAAAGGATGTAAAGATGCAAAAGAAAAAAATAACGTGAGAAATAAATTAACTTTACATTGTTGCCTCAATGCATGGTCATAAGCCATCTGTAAGACGTTGGAGTTGGAGCAAAGCAAGGAGGGCCAGTGGAAGGATGTTGCCTAGCTGTGGCAAATCGTTGATGCAATGGTATATCTAGGATATCGTGCGATTTTTTAAACGACGATGGAGCAGATAAATCGTGATTCTCCCCTTTGGTTCTAGTGTCGATGGAAAGTTCATTTTTTTTAGCATTCACTGTTTTGTAGGTCCACAAAGGACGTGTATAGGGAGTTAGAAGAGGCGGAAAGACCCCACTACATGAATCTTTTATTCGACAGTAGGAGTCCCGAAGAAGATTCCAAATTTCTATCTCATCTAATGGTTCATCCAGATAAGCTTCTGTAGTCCCCAACGAGACGCCATTTTTCTTTCCTGTGGACATAACAACACCAGGAGGTGTCATTTCCCCTGTTTCTTGTTGAATGGTCCTTGCTTCGCTATGCTTCTGTCGCTTCCCCATCGACCGCACACCATTATTTGCTGATACATTTGACCGATGTGGTATATCATGTTGTGGCCCCCGAGAGTGCTGTTTGCGCTTAACAGCTTGAATGCCTTTTGGTTGTCCTATGGGAGGAACTGGACTTGAATGTCCCTGAAGCCGCATCGATGCTAAGTATTTCTGGGAATAATGAGTTCCAAGAAGCCAATCCTCAAAGGAATCGGGGCGCTCAAGAGTACTGGCAAGAGTTTGAGGATTCCCAGAAGCCATCTCCTTGATAGTAGTAAGAAACAATTTTTAGAGCTATGTTGTGGTACACAAACAATGAAGCAGCTGGTAATCAATACAGGACATGATGGTGGCAACGTGCAGATTTTGCTCGTTTGCTTCAAATTACATTGTAAAAAAGAATGTGATTTGGCCAGCAGAACACAATAATTAAAAAAAAAAAAAAGTAAAATTCGTAGGGATAATAAAGTATCAAGTAGAAAAATAGAAAACCCAAAGACATGTAAAAAGACTACTTTGTCCCTTGCGTTTTTCGCATCATTTCCTCTAACTGCATTTCTTCACTGGTCGGAAGTTTTTGCATTTTTTGCCGCTGATCAAACATCATTTTCGCAATAGTTGCCTGTGCACTCTCATCTAGATCCGAAATGTGCTTACTAGGTGGTCTGAATGTTTTCATGTCTATCTGTCGCTCACCTACTGTAACGCAGGGCCACCACTCCTCATACTGCGAATTTGTCTTCACCAGAGTAATCACCAAAAGCCTTTTGTCCTCGATACACCACGTGCACTCATCAGCCTTGACGGTTCTGTACAACTCTCCAGAAATAATAGGTGGTTTGCCCCTAAAACCCACAACGATGTTAGTAGCTGTAATTTGCACTAAAAGCATTTTTGCGGTTGTACCCTCCGAAAGTGGAACGGTAACTGTCACATCCAAATCTCCCTGACCAAAGGAATAGGTGTTGTAATCTCCACCGCATTGCTCGTTGCAGGGTATCAGATCAGTCATACCATTCTGACTCTCGACAAGAGACATAATGACGGTCCTATACAACCTCGTGAATAAATAAAGCCCTCACCCAAAAAAAATAAAAAAAAATAACAATAACTAACATGGACATCATCATAAGCCACATGAAGAAAACAAGTGAAAAGAGAAGGTTGGGGTGTTACAAACATGGAACACAAAATAAATATGCACAAAAAAATAATAATTTTTAAAAAAGCAAAAAAAAAACGTCATCTTGTTTCCCGCCAAGGTTTTTATTATTACTTTATTTGGGAGGGGAGGTTATGTTGGTATTTCGTCATATTTTGTACAACAGTTGAGATTGAGATACTGTGGAACGTGATAGGCCTCTTTGAGGCTCACGACGCAATTCTTCCGCTCGTCGGCGCTGCCTTTGGAATTCTAGGTGTGCAAACTCGTACAAGGAAACCATGTAGGCAGTACGCTCGCAGCGACGCAGCATTACTTCACGCTGTGCTAGATCCATTGAATTTTTTTCGGCCAACGGCGATGATGTCGCTCGAGACGCATAAAAAGCAGAATAGTTAACTTCTGGCACTATAGAAAATCCAGTGACCTCACTCTTGTTAACATGACACTGAGACTCTTGTAGAACGGAGGCTAAGTTTGCTTGATGCCGATAGCCCTGTGTTCTCTTCTTGGTGCTTCCATGAGTACATGCTGAAACAACAATGTCTCTTTCTTCGTTACTATGAGATGGCTGAAGTGGAAAGTCAACAGTTTTTACTTGGGAGGAAGATCCAACCTCAATGGGAAAAAAAGAGTCTAGTGTGGTTGTATGCATAGGACTAGACTCTTGCTGGGGGTGCGTTAGCAAAGTTTTATCCGGGCAGTCTTCGTTTGTGGTAACTATGGGAACAGTTGGGGGTAGAATAGGAAGCGTTTCTTCTGATGCCGGGACATTCACGGGCACCTCCTTTTCATCCTTCTCTTTGTTTTCAGCCACGTTACTTGCCTTAGTTGATTCTTCCATTGACGTCGGCTCTTTTTTGCTCAAATAAATAGCACTCCCACTAGAAATTCCAAGTTCCCTCCACGTGGACTGAGGGTCAATAAGCTGTCCATAGTCACATTTTCTCTCCCCGATTGTACGATAAAATTTGTACTCGCATATTCTCTTTATCATAAGCTTCTTCATAATGTTAGGGAGAGAAGCTTTAATCTCACTATCTTCTCGAACGCTGATGAGCAGCTTCTCCTCTGGAAACCAACTATCGCCTATAAGCCGAATTATCATGTTTTCCCCCTCTTCAAAAAAAGCAAAAAAAAAGACAAAAATGGGAATTTTTTTAAGTGCCAAAATAATCATAATAACAAGATCCTGTACAAAAACATACACACAAAAAAGGGGGGATATGGCTAATCTGTAAGGAGATGGTTCTTGTAAATCTGCTCAAGACAGAGAGCAGGACACAGTACCGTACACACCATAATTCACTTGATAGTCTCCTGGTATAGCAGGAGAACGCGTTCCCACACCAGTACAAAAAACATAGTTTCCGGTACGAAGAGGCCTCCCAATAGAAACCGCGTAAGCTACTGCTGAGGCCACTGCCGCAGAAGGGCCTCCCAGACAATTTTTGCCAGAACCAACCTGAAGAGGTTCATTTTTTCGAGTCATCACAAAGGAATGATTCCCTAGTGTGTCCAGAGACGCCTTAACCAGCTCAGTTTCCTCACCAAGACGAACACTGATGCAACCACCTAAATCCGCAGCAAATCCAGTCGCATGCGGAGGATAGAAGGGAAAACGTGAACCTGTAAGTTCAATTCCAGGACGAAACACATCACACACGGTTGCTGCTGCAGATAGTGTCAACTGAGACGTCGCATCACGGCCCAAACGTAAAACAAAAAGAGGCTCAATAAACTGAATCCGATGTTGTTTCACTGATAAATCCAATTGCTGAAATGCAATGGAAAAAACAGGAACACAAACGACGTCGGTCCACCTCAAACATTGTAAGGCAGCTGAAGAAGGAGGTATTACCTTGATACCCATAAAATTAAAGCCGTTTTCCTGCATTACCTCACATAAAATTGAATGAAACTCCAGAAGATTCTTGGAATTCGCCTGATGACGCGGTAAAATTTCGCTAAGGGCGGGCAGATCCCTGTCTGCATTACGAAGGTAATCCATATAGCTTTCAATTGCCGTCTTTGAGACAGCTAAGCGTCTCAATGTATAAGAAAACATCTCCACTTTAACTGGAAAAAAAAAATGTAAACATATATACACATATAGAGATAAGTCATTGTTTTACATATTTTTATTGTTTTTGAAAAGATGAGGTTATAACTAATAAAACATTCACAAAATTAATATAAACTGTACAATTTAATCAATAAATAGGACAACAAACATATTACTACACGGATTGCACAAACTGGTTAAATATTTTTTGAAATTCCTCACCGAAGTCTGATTGTAGAGAGGAGGCGTCATTGGGTTGACTAGCGAAGTTATACTCCTTTGATAGATCTTCTTCAAGAGTTCGCCGGATAAAGGGACGAGCTACTAGAGCCTGTCTTACATCCTGTAATTTTTCCTTTGGAACAGGCACTTCTCGTACTTCATGCGGAAGTGTATGAGGAGGCGTATCCTCCACCACCTCCGGTCGAAGAGGGGTATCGTGATGACTAAAATTGTTACTCGTCTCTTTATGGGATGGTATTGACGCAGTAGGTTTTGTCTTTTTCTTGAATAGCCATCCAAAAAAAACTCTTTTATCTATTTCGTGAGCTCTTTCCTTGCCGTCATTCATTGCGGTTTTATCAGAGCGTGCTCTTTCTAGCTTTCGAAGGCATTCAATTGTTGCCGGACGGTTTCCGGAATTTCTAAAAATCACATCCCTGGCATCCTTGAGATCTAATGGCTCAAGCAAAGCTTTTAACCTTAACAGACTGTCAAAGTTATCCTCCGCTGTATCCTCAGACCCAGCAAGAAAGTGTTGAACAAGAACCTCGTCCATTTCCATCACGGAAGCATATTCTGAGCTGGACAACATTGTTTTAAAACTAAAAACGTTAAAAGGGAAAACAAGAAAAAAAAGAAAATAAATTAAGTACAAATGATATTTAACAAACTAACACGTCAACCGTCCCTCCAAATTATATATATATATATATATATATATATATATTATTATTATTATTACCACTTTCTCTCCTTGTCAAAGCCATCCGCATTAAGCAACGCTCAGTTCTCACTTTGGTTCCTCTATAAAACTAGAGAGTAATTAAAAAGGTAAGCTTCGTCCAAGACTCGGACCAGGTGAAGGTCCCATACTTTCACAAGCCATTGACTCTGAACCAAGAGTTCGTGATACAGTCAAAAAAGACACATCATCTGGAGAAGGAGACCCCAAACCACCCTCGGGCCCCCAGGAAGACCCCACTGTATTTTCTTTAAACTCTGTCGCCAAAGCACGATCAAGCATATCACGACAAAACGAATCCGCCTTGACGCTCAAAGCTATGTGGTACTGCGCTATCGCCGCCTTCATATTACCCATCAAATGATATGTGAAAGCTAAAGCACAATGACCATGACCAGCATTAGGTCTACATTTGACGTACAAAGTATAAAATGATAAGGCATCATCATACTGTTTTAGTTTGCGGCAAACCGTGGCCAAATTGAAAATTATGCAATCTCTATATTCTGATGGGTTTTCGGGGTTAGAAAGGGACTGATACGCCATTCTAAAAAAATTGAGCGCCTCCTGCAACCTATGAGTTTTCGCATTTAAGACACCAATTTCATTTAACACGAGTGGATCGTCTGGAATAATTTTTATGGCTTGTTCCAGAAAATATGACGCCAATCCCCACTGATGTATCCTACCATATTGCATTCCAACAAACGTACTACAGCAGGGAAGACCCGGAAAATAATTCATTGCTCTTCTATACACATCTAAGGCTTGTTCACCCTCTTCTAGTTTTGCGTAGCAATGGCCATAGGCAATCCAGGCCTCAGCAAAGGAGGCGTCAAGTTCCGTCGCTCTGCTAAAAAACCGTCCTGCACGCTCATAGTTAGACAAAGAAAAATGAAAACAACCCATGGCATACACCGCCAATTCCACATGAGCCTTATTATTTGCCAAAAAATGGGCCTGATCAAATAATTTTGAAGTTGCTTTCATATTCACTAAAATGGAAAGATGTAAACACGCACCTCCTCGATCAAAAGGAGCCATTTCGAGTAACTCCGTTGTCAAACTTAAGGCTTTTTGTAAATCATTCCTTTCGTATTCAGCTGCAGCAGCCTGTAATCGTAGTATTGCTCGCGGAACATACTTTTCCTGCTCCTGAGGAACTGATTCAAACGGCAAACGGGCCCTGTAAGAGACACGAAGCACCTCAGCCTCAGGTGGTAATCTTAAAGAATCGATAAGAATACGAAGGTCAGTTATATTTAATAGCTTTCTTTCAATTAGAGCACTCATCGCTTCACCACAAAAAGGATCCATTTCCAAAGCCATTTGATAATGATATGCGGCTTTTTTCGTGTCACCAGATAGTTCGGCACATTTACCCAAGTAACACAAGGCCATAACGTTCATAAAAGGTACTTGTTTTAGTCTATCCGCGAAAGCTGCAGACTCTTTTGTATCCCCCAATTCATAGGCTGATTTCATAACAAGTAAAACAGCTTCTGGATTTTCTGCATCATCGGATAACACAGCAGTCGCCAAACGCATCGCCAAATCATATTCACGAGCGGCAAAAAGTGCTTTTGCATGAAGAAGTGAATAACGTGGCGAATTGGGTTTCACCTCCCGCAAGGTAGCTGTGAGAGAAAGAGCACTTAGAGGCTGGTCACTTTCCAAAAATCTTCGAGCATTGGATTCAAGCAACGCTACGAGCTTCATTTATGACTACACCGATTAAACAAAGAAAAGTAAGGAGAAAAATAAAACGCAAAAACTTAAAAGACAGATAACAAGATACATCTTTCATAAATCAATACAAATACAATAACGTCATTTCAGCCATCAACATTCGCACCGGACTCCTTCACAGATGATATAACGGGACTGGAAAAAAATAGCCTATACAAAAACATCTATGATAAACAAAAAAGTTATTTGCAACCCTTATAAGACACACCGCCTGCAATCAAAACAAGAAAAAGCGTCCATAGGCACACAGACAGGACCACAAGAAAGCCGCCACCGTGACATCAATGAGACAACCACAAAAAAAAAACAATAGACCTGCGCTGCACCTAACCACCAGCAAGCACCATACCCACCCAACCATCATGGAAGGAAACGCATCCATGCGACACAACAACACACGCACCGGCACCCATGGAGCAGGCATTTTCGACTTCCAAATGGCCTTCGCCAGACAGCGTCCACCACATCATCGCATTTGACGTGTAGATTGTGGGGGCAACGGCGCGCCCGCTGAGCCACCGAGGCCGTCTCGAAGCTTGTCTACGCGGGGGAGGCCAACCAGAGGAAATATCGCCACACGGCCAATCCGCTCCGCAGGGTCCTGCGGGGCATGGAGGCAACATGGGCGGCGCAGAACAACGAATCACGCCGGACAGACGGCGGGCCGCCAACGCGGCAGCCCCGGCAAAGAGCCACCGGAGGCCGTCGTATTGGGCCCCAAGCTGACGGAGTTGGACAGCACCGCCGCCAAAAACCGCTGGCTTGTGCTCGCTACGCACCAGGAAGCAAAGCAATCTTGTGAGGGTGTGCGCGGTGGAAGCGAGGAGGCACCCGGGGATTTGCGCCCTCGGCCACCCCAACGGGAGCCCTTGTACGGGGACAGTCCCACAGAGCCGGCGCCGTAGAGCCACCATGCCCTCCTTGACTCGGGGGAAAAGGCTTCCGACTCAGCGCTCCATCGGCCTGCCGCGCCGCCCAGCTGCCTTGGTAAGCTGGTGGAAGATATTATTGCCGCTGGCGCCTGCGACGCCATGGTCTCCCAAGTGGATTCCTGCGGCGATCTGATTTCCGGCCGAACACCCCGCAGGAGCCTACGGAGTCCGTC